GGACGAGGGAGAGTCGGGTGGAGTGAGTATGATGGGGGGATGTTTTTGTTTGTGTGTTTTTTGCTTTGTTTCTGTTGATGGTAGTGCTGTTTTTTGTTTTTGTTTGTTGTTTTTAGTTGTGTTGTTTGTTTTGGTGGTGTTTTTTGTTTTTGTTTGTTGTTTTTAGTTGTGTTGTTTGTTTTGGTGGTGTTTTTTGTTTTGTTTGTTTGTTGTTGGGTGTTTTATTTGTTTATATTTGTTTTGTTTGTGTTGTTTTGTTTTATGTTTGTTCGTGGTGGTGGTGGTTTATATGTATTTTTTCTTGATGTTTTTTCTTGTATTTTATGAACTTATTTTTGTTCTGTTTCCTTTTTTGGTTGTTGTTGTTGCTGTTGGTGCTTTTGTTTTTATTTTTCCTGTTTTTCTTGCTTCGTTTTTGTTGTTTCGTTTCCCATTTTGTTAGTGGTGGCGGTGGTTTTCTTGTTTTGATAATTAGTCTTGTTGTTGTTGATGGATATGTTGTTTTGTTTATTGTAGGTTGTGGTTTTGTCTGTTTGTTTGTTTTGTTGTAACTATGGTGGGATGGAGTTTTCTTAATTGTTGATTCATTGTCGTTGTTCTTCTGATTCTTGTTTGTTTGCTCTTCCTACTTTGTTGTTTTCTTTGTGCTATTATTTTCGACTGTTCTATTCTTTCTTTTTTATTGCTATACCTTTATGCTTTTATTATTCTCTTCTGCAGCGGTTATTCTGTTTTCTTTTGGTTCTATTTCGTTCTGTTCTGCTTTTTATTATTCTGTTTTGTTATTATCATATCTTCTTGTTTTTTTCTGTTATATGTGGCTTTGTGTTCATATTATGTTATACTTTGACTTGCTGTTCTGTTCCTTCGGTTTATCTTGTTGGTATTCTGTTCTGCTGTTCTCATTTGTTCTGCTACGATTATGTCGAAATATTCATATTATGTTGTCCTGTTCTACTACCACGTGCTGTTTTGTTATTTTGCAGAAGTTGCATCATAAACACATACACGTGTGTGTGTCTATATACTCTTATATATATATATATATATATATATATATATATATATATATACATATATAGATAGATATAAAGATAGATAGATAGACGGGTAGACAGATAGGCAGATAGATAGATAAATTAATAGATATATAGATAAATAGACTTAATAAATCAATAATGCAACATTCTCTACCCTCCCCCCCCAAAAAAAAATGGCAGACCCACCGCCGCCACGACGGCCGAACCCGAGGACCCCTTCTGGGACGAGAAGCAGAGGGTCCTGTCCCGCCTGAACGACTCGCTCCTCCAGCCCTCCTCCCTCAACAGGACGCCCAGCACCATCTGGCTCTTCTACAACCGGATTCCTCGCACGGCCGGACAGACGGTGGTGTCGCTCCTCAAGTCCTTGGCGGGAGACCTCGATTACCAGCACCAGGAGCATGTTTACCGGACCCCGTGGCAGCGGTGAGGGTTGTTTGGGTGGGGGGTTGTTGGGTGGTTGAGGTTCTTTGGGTGGGTTTTTTGGGTTTGTTGGGTGGGTTGTGTTTGGTTTGTTTGGATGGTTGTTTGTTTGAGTGGTTGTTTTGGGTTTGTTTGGGTGGGTTGTTTGGGTTGTTTTGGGGTGTTTGGGTAGGTTGTTTTGGGTTATTTGGATAGTTGTTTGTTTGTTTGAGTTTTGTTGAGGGGTTTGTTTTATTTTGCAGTTTGTCGGTGGAGTGGGAAGTGGAAGTAAAAATCTGGTGCTTCTAGGGAGAGGGGGAGGGTGATGGGGGGAGAGGAAGAGATGGAGTGAAGGGGGCGGGAAGGAAGGAGGGAGGGAGAGAGGGGGGAAGAGTTTGTTGGGAGAAGGAGGAAAGGAAGGGGAAGGAGGAAAGGAGGGAGGGAGATAGTGAGAGAGAGAGAGAGAGAGAGAGAGAGAGAGAGAGAGAGAGAGAGAGAGAGAGAAGAGAGAGAGAGAGAGAGAGAGAGAGAGAGAGAGAGAGAGAAGACAGAAAAAGTAAAGAAGTCATTCCAACCTCCTCCAGTAAGCCTTATTTCTCATTTATTTCTTCCTCCTTTCTCCCCTTCAGCCTGATGAGCGAAGAGGAACAGAATAATTTGGCCACGTGGTTCGAGTACAACTTTTGGCCCAAAAGCTACGACCGATTTTCTCTCTTCATCAACTTTACAGAGCATCGTAGGTGAGTGCGTGTGCCGTACAGATGATCGTAAATATGCACATAATACAAATACACACGCTTCGTACACGCACACAAAGTCTATGTAAGTACTTATATAGACCTTGCACGCACACACGCGCAAAAGTACACACACAGGCAAGCACATGCACATATACACGTAAACGCACACCACACGCATACGGACAGAAACACACACGTGTTGCCCTAAAATGTTTACTTCCTGAAACCATAATTTAAGATATTTTGATTATTGAAACTAGCAACGGATTGACAGAACTGTGTCTATATATCATATATTCCACTACCTGTTATGGAGCA